CTTCATATGGTTGCTAAGCAACCGGTCATAAGTGGAGGACTATTGATGTTACCTGTTATGTTTGAGGTTGAGCACCAGGATATTCTTGGCGTTCTCCAGCTCCCGTGGACACTCAGTCAGCTGGTTGTAGCTCAGGTCCTAGAGGAAGAGAAAGCCAGGAAGGGGGCATCAGAGGCCACGGAAGCATCATGGGGCGGCCACGGAGGCCACGTTTTCTCAGAGATCCAAAGGGAAAGCGCGAGAATAATGGGGGCGTCTGAATTTAGAGCCGTTTCCCTCAAACTTGGTCACTGTAAGAGGTAGGTGGGCTCCAACCCCCAGAATTCCCCAGCCGGATCTGCCACCTACCAGGACCGAGAGGTCGTCCAGCTGGAAGATTTCATAAGGAATCCCGGAATTTTTCAGCGCGTTGGCCCGAGCGACGATGGCCTGGGGAGCGGGAGGAGAAAGAACGGGGGTGGGGTTGGGGGTCAGGCCCACCTGAGACCATGCAGAGGGTCAACGGGGGAGCTCTGGGGTGCGGAGGACTTACCCGCAGGCAAGGGAGGCTGGAGAAGTCTCCGTGGAGGGTGGTCAGGTTGTTGTGGCTGACGGAGAGGTGTTCCTATTGGGGGAAGGCAAGCAGGAAGGGTCTGGGGGCTGCGTGTGATTGTAAGGAGGGTCGGTGTGCACCCTCCCCACTGGGGTTAGCTTCACGGGGGTGGACAAGCCATCTGGGTTTGTGCCTTGAGCCCAAATGGAATTGAGAAGGATGTGGCTTGGGGTGGGGCATGAAGGGGCCCAGGAAGGGGGCAGGAGGAAGGGGGAGAGATCTTTGGAGGGAAATCCTGCCCCCCCCTCCCCAAATCCCCCATCCACTCTCCCTCTCTCAGGTCCTTCAGCCTCAGGGATCCAAAGCCTGTTTGGGCACCTGAGTTTAGCCTTAACAATACGGGAACGTCATAATGACTCTTCCTTGCAAAATTTCTATTTTAACAATTAAGGGGGATTTAAAAATAAAACAACCCCGTTTCCCCCCCTCCCCCTGCTTCCTGCCCTCCAAAATGACCCCCTGGGGGGGGAGGGGGCTGCAAAAGGAAACGCTGATCTCTCACCAGCTTGTGGAGGGCCGAGAGCTCCTCCGGCAAGTAGCAGAGGCCCGTCCGGTTCAGCTTCAGCCATCGCAGGCTGGTCATGGACCTCACGTGCTCCGGGAAGAAACCACCCTGCCAGGGGGAGAGGCATCAGAGGGTGGGGGGGTCAGGTGTGCTGGAGGCCATCCTGGCAAGGGACCAGGGGGAGGTTGTGACAGTCGTAAGTGCGAGGACCCCGGGGAAAGTCACTTTCTTCAGCACCATTTGAGTGGTTGTTAAAACAAATGGTCATAAGATGAGGATCTATTCTATTCTACTCATTCTATTAACTCTTTCTATTCTATTCTCTATTTTCTATTCTATTAATTCTTATTCTATTCATTCTCATTCTATTAATTCTATTCTATTCTACTCTACTATTTTCTATTCTATTCTATTTTCTATTCTGTAAATTCTTATTCTATTGTATTCATTCTCATTCCATTCTTTCTATTCTATTCTCTTTCTGTTAATTCTATTCTATTCATTCTTATTCTATTCATTCTTTCTATTCTATCCTATTCTCCATTCTATTCTACTATTTTCTATTCTATTATATTTTCTATTCTACTTTCTATTCTATTCATTCTTAATCTATTCATTCTTGTTCTATTTATTCTTTCTGTTGTATTCTCTATTCTATTCTACTATTTTCTATTCTATTCATTCTTATTCCATTCATTCTTATTCCATTCCATTCCACTCCTACTCTTATTCCTATTCCTATTCTTCTCCTTCACACAGGTCCCCGATTAAAGGGGTCCCTGCAACCCATCTCTTTTTATGTCCAATGTCCATAAAATATAGGATCACCCCATGACTTTTCTCTTCTCCCCTGAGATTCTCGGCCCCTGTCACCGAACATGCATTGCGGGGGAGAGAGAAGCACCATTTCAAGCAACCGTTTTTGTCCCTGGAAATTTACAGTCTGAAATGTTATGAAGTTTGACCCGGTCATCGTCCGTGCAAGACACGCAGAGATCGTGTGTCCGAAGGCTGTGCCCTCCCCTCTCCTCTCCCCTTCCCTGAGTGACGTCACGATTTATAAGCAGGGTTGCACGTCACTTCAGAAGTATTCCTGACCTCTCAAGGCAAACATACTCTCCCCCCCCACACACACACAAGCATGTGGCTCACTGCTAATTATAATTCTGATATCAGCCCCGTAAACTCTGCAAGAGGAAATGAGTTGGACGGTTGAGAAACGAGGATAAATGGAAACTTTTAGGAAGGTGGAAAGGAGCCCAGGGAGGTTTAACCGTAGGAAACACGAGGAGCTTTTGAGTAAACAAATTGTGCAAGGTCTTCATAATATTTTCCGGTTCAGTGGCAACAAGCTAGGAGAGACGAGGCGCTTCATATCATCCACCGGGAATCGGGGCTATACATTTAATAAATGGTTCTTGTAATTATTAAAACATGAGCTACTCGTTTCATGCAACCTTCCCAGGTGACTATCCCAGCAATTGGCAAGTATGATCTTTTGTGAAACAACTTGTGAAAACTTGCTTTCTTTAGAAAGAAAGAGCCTATATCCCGCCCCTCTCCTACTCCCCAAATGAAGGTGTCCCAGGTCAGATTCCGCAGCGGAGATAGCCTAGCTTAGCCCATACCCTTCTCTCCCTGGAGGCCAGCTGACATTTGCAGCACTGAGTCACAGAACAAGCCAAAGATCTGATCTTAAAATTGCTATTCCAAGAGTTGCCCAGAAGTGCAGCCTGACTTCACAGGACCTGAATAAATCAATCCTTTTTCTTGTATAACCAAAAATTAGGAATAACTGGGGGGTGGGGGGGAAACCTGGTCACCCCTTTTCCCATAGAAAAGGACTTTCTCTCTTTGACGTTCTGAAAAAGTGAAGCCTCCAAGGCAAGGATCTTCCAACTTGGCAAGTTTAAGGCTTGTGGACTTCAACTCCCAGAATTCCTGAGCTAACACGGCTGGAGGAGGAATTCTGGGAGTTGAAGTCCACAAGTCTTAAAGCTGT